TCCCTTTTGAAAGTTGCATTGTGGATTAAAAGCCCATTAATACTATATGTGGATGTGTAGAATATTTAACAGTGTAATTTGAGATAATAAATGGTAAATAGGAAAATACTGGGGAGGGGGGAATTGAAACTTTACAGCTCAGTTTTAAAATAGTTTTAAATGATAATTGAATAACAATTGCAATTGTTGCAATCCCTTATTTTTAATCTACAGATTTTAACTTTAAGCATTGTTTGACATTTTACATATTGATGACACTTGACATTTTATATATTGTCATAAATGTGTAATGTTAATTATTCTCATAATCTATGTGGCAAAAATAAGCATTTTTACACAAACTGTTCTTATCAATGTTTTTCTCTTGCTTAGAGAAGCTAATTGGAGCAATGAGCAGTAACGAGTGCTTCAAGTGTGGGCGTACTGGCCATTGGGCTCGAGAATGCCCCACCGGAATTGGTCGTGGCCGTGGAATGCGAAGCCGTGGCAGAGGTATCTTTCCTAACAATATTTTTCCATGAGTTTGAATTCATAAATCTACCTTAATTGTTCTCTTCTTTTTTTCTGTATGCAAAATTGAGTAGCAATGAAGTAGAATTGTAGCCTTATAGGGATTTGAATCAATTGAACTGCTAATATTGTCTTTCTCAACAGGCTTCCAATTTATGTCATCATCACTTCCAGACATCTGTTACCGCTGTGGTGAGTCTGGCCATCTTGCCAAGGATTGTGATCTTCAGGAGGATGGTAAGTATTAATAAACAATGGAGAATAAATGCATTGTAACAGTTACACTTCGTTAAGTACATGTCCCACAACGCTATCAAGGTTTTATAGTCTTGTTTATATTCTTTTTCTTATTGTGGAAGCCTGCTATAACTGCGGTAGAGGTGGCCATATTGCGAAGGACTGCAAGGAACCCAAGAGAGAGCGAGAGCAGTGCTGCTACAACTGTGGCAAGCCTGGCCACTTGGCTCGTGACTGTGATCATGCAGATGAGCAAAAGTGTTATTCTTGTGGGGAATTTGGACACATCCAGAAGGACTGCACCAAAGTCAAATGCTATAGGTAAAAATTGGTTTTGATACGAAGATGGGCATTAATCCTATACTAATATTTCAGATCAAAAGGACTGATTAATACACTAATATGCAAGAGCTTTTTCAGTTGCTTGTTCCTGCAAGCATCCCATGAATTTAATTTGGATACTTTTTTGTAATCTACCCAGAATGTTATGGATACTAAAATTGCTATTTGTACTTTAATGTTCAGTATGTGTTAATACTGCAGATGTATGGGACATTTTGTCTCTTGACTGTGGATTTAAATCCAGTGACTACTTTTGTCAGAAATGCTGCAGAAGGTTTCTGTACATGTATTTTTCATTAGGCTAATGTTGGTTTTGTCTCATTTCAGGTGTGGTGAAACTGGCCATGTAGCCATCAACTGCAGCAAGACTAGTGAAGTCAACTGCTATCGTTGTGGGGAGTCAGGACACCTTGCACGGGAATGCACAATTGAGGCTACAGCTTAACTGTTTTCCTTTGTCGCCCCTCCTTTTTCTGATTGATGGTTGTATTATTTTTCTCTGAATCCTCTTCACTGGCCAAAGGTTGGCAGATAGAGGCTACTCCCAGGCCAGTGAGCTTTACTTGCCGTGTTAAAGGAGGAAAGGGGTGGAAAAATCGACTTTCTGCATTTAACTACAAAAAATGTTTATGTTTAGTTTGGTAGAGGTGTTATGTATAATGCTTTGTTAAAGAACCCCCTTTCCGTGCCACTGGTGAATAGGGATGGATGAGTGGAAAGAGTTAAGTCAGACCAGCAAAGCCTCCCTGGGTTCCATGGAAGTGATCGCATGCAGGAGGAACTACGCTGGAAGTGTCTGAACTTCCACAGTAATTAATTCTATTACAATAATGGCCTTGGATTGTCTGACCTCAGTAACAGTTATAACACCAAGTATTTATATCAGGCCTTACCAAAAGCATATAGCGAAGTGGGATAAACAAACAATGCACATGCCTGTTAATGGCCACAAGAGTGAGGGAGAAATTGAAGTAACTGTAATACAATAAATGAATGTCTAATGCGAGGTAACAAGGGAATGGGAAACATTAAATATTTCAAACTAAATCAAACCCAGAACATCAGTGCTTGAGTATACACAATTTGGAGCTATTCAGGACTTGAAAAGAACTGCATTTTCACAGAAATCAAGATGTTATTTTTGTATACTATATCACTTAGACAATTGTTGAGTTTCATTTGCTTGTAATCAGTTTTTAAAGTCAGATGGTAAAAGCAATTGAAGTCCTAGAATATAGAAATGTAATTTTAAACTATCAATAAAGCTGGAGGAGGAAGGGGAGTTTGACTGAAGTTTTTTTTGGTTTGGAGTTTATTTTTCAGGTACATGATAATATTACATAGATAAATGTAGAAATTGCTGAACAATTGACTATTGTACTACTAATGTATAAACAAAGTTAATTCCTGTATCATTTAAACTGTAGAATTTGTTAAATATATCACTTCAGAAGCAGTATTTGCATTTTTTTTCTCAGGTGGCAAGTGTGATATAATTAGGGTGCTTATTTACTCCTGTAAGTAAAGTAAGCTACAGTTCACAATGTTTAGACAAAAAGTGCATTTGGGAGGATTAAAGCTTGCAGTTTTAACACTGGTGGAGTGGTGGAAGGAATTCTGAGATCATAGAAAGTATCTATATTCTTCCCTGCTTTTCAGTAGCTGACTCACTTAAATCAAACAATCTATCAGTCACAAAAAATAAAACTGCATAACACTGAAAGTATAGATGCCACAAATAATTTGTATAATTTATTGTTTTACATAGGTGACAAATCAATCTTTTAGAACTGACTAAACTAGCTGTACTGTTTCTTAATATCAAACTTAATCTGTGACATTAATAGACATAAAAATTCTGATATTTGACAAACACATTGAGTTAACCCTAACTTTGTTGGGAAAAGTCTGCAGAGCCTTAAGATAAACAGTTCTAAAGGTTGAAGTTCACTCAGATGATTTTATGTTTTCCAGAAGAGGGGGAGGGAATGGTCACACGTTGTTCTCAAAGCCTGATTGGTCCAAAGACAGAGAAAACGCTTAAATACTGGTGCCTTCCAGTCCTATCCCAGTTTCCTCGAAGGCGAACGGTAGAACTGAAACGACAAAAAACAAACACACAACAAAACCCCCGGGAACCACCCGGGCCCTCCCCTTGGCCCCGACGGAAAGGTCTCAGGGCGGGTTGTGACCATTCCCTCCCCCTTCTGAAAATAGACGTTCAGGTAAGACCAACGTCCTTTCTCTCCTATAAAAACATTGGTTGCCATCATCTGTTTTCCCCAGGATGCAGATGTGAAAGGGCATGGCCTGATCAAAAGAGACCTCAACCTCAGAAAAATGGTTATTGAGGATGATAAAGATGAAGAGGGCTATAAAGTCATTACCAAAGAGTTTGGCCTCCATCAGCTCAGTCACACAAACATTAAGAAAGAGCAACACTATCACATTCTTTAAAAATGGTTACCCCAATAAGATTCTACTTTGGAAATTAACAACCTCAATAATAGCAAATGATTTGCATGTTATTCATATTGCCTCATGTCAGTGGTAATAAGTTTACATCAGCATTTTTTCTAGGAGACTATTAGGGAAGTCAATGATATGAAGTTTAAATGACTTGGTGATTGCAACAGAGAGATCCAAACAGCTACATCTTACAAATAAATGGTTGAAACATTTTTTGAATGACCCAAGTCGCCCTGACCTTCATCCAGTTTATGGTATGATCTGAAGCAAGAAGTTGATGCGAAGCAGCCCAGTACTTTAAAGAATGAAAAAACCTACTAAATCTAAAATCTTACCTACTTTTTCTAGCAAATACATGATATAGTACTCTTACCTTGATTAATAGTGCTTAAATTCATATTACATACCATATAGCACAGTGCCGCATGGTTAGATACTTGGAAGGATTTCCAACACATCTCACCACTATATAGTGGTGTCACCCAGAGTATGACAAATGCAGTACACTTAAAGGTTGAGGGCAACACCAAAATTAGATTACATTAGTGACAAGGACCAGGAAATGAACCAGTTGGAAAAATAGTGCATCTATAAGAGCAGGATCCAGTTTCATATCCTGCCAGTTAAACTTGCAGCCAGTTATAAACTGAACTATGTCTAAAAGTACTTTCTACCTATTAATCCAGTAATTACAGTGTTACCTTTATTTCAGTGATCCATGATTAGAAGCTGGACTTTTAATCAGAATGACTAGTAAAGAATTATTGGAAACTCAAAAATTGCACTTGTTAGTAAAACTTCAAGAAATACAGATAGTAAAAGCAGTGATTGCATTTTTATGCTGCTTTTTACACCAAATTATCTCAGATTCACACAAATTTACAAAAGTAATACAAATAAAGTATAAAATACAGTAAATTTAATTTTATTTTAAAAAGGGAAAGGAAAAACAACAAAGTTAATCCAGCCTCGGGTTTTCAACAAGCAAAGGTTTTCCTTTTTCCTTGAGTTTTCTCCTAACTTCCTTTTTCAGGGAGCGGATAGTTCTGCAGACTTCAGCCCGCCAATTCCGCCAAGTTTTAGTTTTGGCTTCGCTACGTCATGCAATCACCGTCATGGTTCACTCTTAGGCATGAGATGGCATTTAAGGAATTGGCCGAAAAACAAATATGGTAAAGCTGCTTGGAAAATGCACCAGTCGGGGCTAGAATGAGAGGCGAACACGATGAAATCGCTAAGCTAAGCATATCGGGACTCTTATATAAAAGCCGATGTACGCTGTTAGCGCTTTTGCCTGTTCATGGCCGCCTACGCAAACTGCAATAGACCGGAAGTCGCTCTAAAGGAGTACAAGGCAGAAGGAACTTACTGCTGTCTTACAAGTTAAATCTCTTCCGGGTTATCTTGGTTGTTTTTTTTTTTAAGATACGTTTCCGGTGGTGTGTCGGGGCAACATCGTGTTCTGCAGCGGTTGCAACCATGGTGAGTGGGTGGGAGTTCGTGTCGGATGGCGGGGTCCAGTGTAGCTTCTCATATGCTTGTTCTTCACGGCTCTTTGGATTTTCTGCCAGTTTTTATACGGCCGGGTTTAGGCACGTACATGTGAAGAAGGAAGGCTCCTCTGGGAGTTAGGCACGGGAGACAATCGAACAGACGACCTCACCCTTCGCTGTCTTATACAATTATTATACCACTGTATAATGGAATAAGATTTGGAGATGATTCAAATGTATTATAAGAATGAGTCTGTAGGGCTGAAGGAAAATACAAGGCTTACAATTGAAAATTGCATGTAAAAAATCTTGTGCAGCAGCTCAGAATAATATTTGATTTGCCAGCAAAATAAATACATTTTGTTTTAAAAACACACTAGTATGGTTATGAGTGCATAGTTTATTACTAATGTCCAGCACTATTTTCTTTAAGCCCTCGAATTCTTTAAAAAAATGTGTATAACTGAATTTTTCATAGCAATTTTACCTCACTATTCTGTAGATCACACACCTACATTGTTTTCATTTTGGAACCAGGCTATTACTCTTAAAATTGCAGGAATGAAACTCATTTTGAATCCTCCAATTTATTTCCTATCAACTGCCTTGTTTCTAGATTTTAAAAAGAAATAGTTCTGTAATGACTGTCACAAGAACAGTTAGTTGCTTGGTTCTGTATGGGTTTTTTTTTCATATTCCTAGTTGTTGGTTTCTAGTTCTGTGGACTATTATGTTCTGTTGGATACCTGATCATGTTGTGATTAACTGCTAGAATGGCATCAATCCAGTTTTCCCATTAGATCAATAGGGAGTGTCTTTAATTATTTAGTTATTTTTATTCATTTATTTATATTCTACCCTTATTTTAAAAAATAACTCAAGGTGGTGAACATATCCCACACAGCTTCTTTCTATTTTCCCCACAATAACCATGTGAGGTGAATTGGGCTGAGAGAGAGTGACTGGCCCAAGATCACCCAGCTCGCTTTCATGGCTAATGCAGGAGTTGAACTCATCGTCTCTTATTTTCTAGCTAGTGCCTTAGCCACTAGACCAAACTCTGAAACTCCTTAGTTTCACATCAAATGTGACACTATGAATGCTGGAACATCAACTCACAATTAATTTTCAGTGATGACCAATCACTGATATTTCTCAAGAGCCACATATGTGAAATTATAATTGCAGCTCTTAGCACTGGAAACATTGGATGTTTATACTGGATTGATCTAACAGGATTTTTTATTTCTTGTAAAATTTCTCCAAACCTCATGTTATTAGTATTTCTTTAAAACAAACAACAATTCTCTGTCTTCTTTAAGGCTCGAAATGCAGAAAAGGCTATGTAAGTACAATTTGAATTTTGTTTTTTTTTTAATTCTGAAAAATTGTCAGTCTGTTTTTTCACAGTTGAACTATTTGCTATATTTGTTCTACATATTAAAGCATTTTAATGATAGAAACAACCACTTTATAGCTTAATGAAAATCTCACTTCCCTCCAAATACTAGTGGAGAAAAGCAGGATATCATTCACATGCACTGTAGTTTCAGTGTCCTTTGATTAAGAAAATATGACTCTGGTTTGTAGACCAATGTAGACCAACATGTCTTTGCTTTTAATCTCCATCTCCAAAGAGCATAAAAAATACAGTTCCAAAGATGAAAGCTTTTTCTTCAGGCTTAAATGTGTTGGATAATCTAGCACAGAACATAAGTGTGAAAGGATTAGCCCAAAAGATTGTGGCATTGTTTCATTTTCTATATTAATAAGGCTTAATTACATTGTGGGTTTTGTTTTTCTTTCCTCATATAATAGGATTTATTTGATATTTGTTTGGTTTGTTTATTTAGAATTTTATATTTAAAATATTTTTAAGGAACAAGGATATTTTTAAAAAACTTAAAACAATGATGTTCTATCTTAAAAGGTTAAGACTATAATCATAGTCATTTTTCTATGTTTAGTAACTAAAGTCTGTACAATTTTTCAGATAACTAATGCAAACTGCTTTACATAAATACGTTGAACTTTTTATTTACCCAGTACTAATAATCTAAATTGATGTTTGTAAACCGTTTTTAAAAAACAGATGTTGAACTCAGCTTTCTTCCTTTTAGGACTGCTTTGGCAAGGTTTCGCCAAGCTCAGCTAGAAGAAGGAAAACTTAAGGTAACAACATAGTTAAACATATATAAACTACTATGCATTTAAATACAGAGACCACTCTCCACTGAGAAGGCAAACATGCAAATTGGCTCTTGAAAATAACATTAGCAATTAAGGCCTAGAAATCCAGACATTGGTCTTGGCTGATTGTTATGAAATGATTTTATCTTAATTTCACCAAAAAAGCTGGGACTACTAGCAAAATATTTTTCAGTATAAATAGCCTTTCAACATCTTCACAATATACACCACAAAGTTCTTGATTAAACTGTGGTAATGATTAATATGGCTAATAATCTAGCTGTTTGGACAATACAAACCATTTGAAAGAATACTTCACAAAACACTTCTCCCAACTTGCTCAGTTTATCAAGATACCTCTTTAAAAGGCTCATGGTGTTGCTTTTTCCATCAGGATTATATGTGAAATATTGCTTGTACTGACATTAGTTTTGAAACTGGTTGTTTAGAGACTTCTTGCTTTGTATGCATGTGGAGAACATTGCCCGGATTAATAATGTGATGTCTGAACATCAAACTGAATTCAATAATGTTCTAATATATACATTTATCTTCTTTTCCATGCTTTGTTGATGTTATATATATTTTGCATGTGCGGTTTGAATAATGAAAACATTATTGCAGTTATTGATTGAAATTCAATGTAATAAATGAAAAAGGCACAAAATAAAATTGATTGAAATTCAATGTAATAAATGAAAAAGGCACAAAATAAAATATTAAGCAGTTTTCATATCTCAAGGTTTCAAGGTTCATTTTATTTATATGCCGCCCTATTCCCGGGGGGACTCAGGGCGGCACACAAACCCAAGGAGGGGAAGGGAAACACAAGAACTACAACAAAAAGTACAGGGAATTTAAAACAACCAACAGCCACACGATTCGAGAGGGGAAGGGAACTCATCGACCCCAGGCCTGCCGACACAGCCAGGTTTTAACGGCTTTTCGGATGGCCTGGAGAGAGGTGAGGGTCCGAATCTCTGTGGGGAGGTCGTTCTAAAGGGCCGGAGCCGCCACAGAGAAGGCCCTCCCCTGGGTAGTAGCCAGATGACATTGGCTAGTAGACGGAACCCGGAGGAGGCCTAATCTGTGTGATCTAAAGGGTCTTTGGGAGGTAATTGGCAGCAGGCGGTCTCTCAAGTACCCAGGTCCAATACCATGAAGGGCTTTATAAGTGACGACTAGCACCTTGAAGCATATCCGGAGACCAATCGGTAACCAGTGCAGCTCGCGGAGGATAGGTGTAACGTGGGTGTACCGAGGTGCACCCACAATCACTCGCGTGGCTGCATTCTGGACGAGCTGGAGTCTCCGAATGCTCTTCAAGGGCTGCCCCATGTAGAGTGCATTGCAGTAGTATCTAAGCAAGATTGCTTCTGCAGATAGTCATTCTGTTCATGCTGGTGATGTTCTCATGGCATGTTCATTTTGCTAAACACAGAGCAAAATTTTATGACAAAACAGACAAATTTAGGATTTATGTAAAATTGGTTCTAAAAAGTACTTCAGAACAAAGAGCATATGCAAGGCTGCTTGTAGTTTAACTGTTTTTATGTTATCTGAGTGTTTAAAACTTCTTTTGTATGAACTGCTACTTGAATTGATTTCAACCCAATAGAAATGAAAATAAATAAAAAAGATCTCACATAAATCACGGGACAGATCTGAAATAAGTAATATAAATCTCTATGACTATAACATAAAATATGAACAATTTGGTTTTTTAAAACAAAAGTAAAAAGTAAAAAATTGAGAATGGAAGCACAGACAGTTTCTAATAATATATACTAGTCTCTTGTATACTACTATACTAGCCTTTGTTTTGGTACTATAAGTCATGTGCTTTGTAGAAATCAAGTTTCTCTGAAACACTTGACATTCTGACAAACTTAATTTTACAAAACAATTAGAGATATTCATATGTTCTCACTTGTTATCAATAAAGGATCTTTCATCTTTCAGCCCAATAATTTTCTTAGTAGCTATTTGACATTTTGATCTGTGCATAAACATTAAAATAGAGAATCACATGGCTGTCCATTGATACAGTATGCTATCATGGGTCGAACTCAATGTCATACCCACATCATTGGATATCCATGTGATCCTTAATTTTAACTTTTGTGCAACAATGTTTCCTTTCAATTAGTTGGTAAATTAATATAGCTATTATATTTGTATCCGACCCATTGCGGATGTAAGAAAGCATGTACATTAGCTATGTAAGTAAACAAAAATAAGTCATTGAAAAGTACATAGCTTAATGCGAGGATAACAGTAATACATTTGCTTGTTTCAATAGGAACGAAGACCTTTTCTTGCATCAGAATGTAATGAATTGCCCAAAGCTGAGAAATGGAGAAGACAGGTATTTCTCTTTTGAGATTATGTATCAAATTTAAATCTGAATTAAGTTTGATTGCGTATTTCTATAGGTAGTCCTTCAGTTACAATTAAGTGTTCAGTGACCATTCAAATTGTACTGGTGCTAAATAAAGAGACTTACAGTTCAACTGGTCCTCAAAGTTCTGGCTGTTGTAGCGTCCCTACAAAATTCAAGCAATTCTCAACTAGCTTGCACTTCTGATTGGTTGCAGCATCCATACTTAGGTGATCACCATTTGTGACTTTTGCTGCCAGTTTCCCACAAGCAAAGTCAATGGGGAAGCTGGCAAAAAAGATTGCAAATCACTCAGATAAGTCTCTCCCCAACCCCCCCCCCCGGGCCTTCACTCACATCATCACTCTCTGCACTCTCTTCCCCTGGCCTTCCTGCTCTCACCTTTCCCAGCATCTCTGCCTGCACATGCACATGTCTCCTGTGCTCTCTTTCCCCAGCCTTCCTGAGCTTACATCACACCGTAGCACTTTGTGGCCAACTTTTGTGCAGCCTGTGCTGAGCCTTCTATGGCCTCCCCCATCCCCTTGTAGCTTGTTTGAAGCCTTGTGTGTATTATATATAGCTCTGTGTCTGCAGTGTTCCTTATTTAATGAGCTGTACTATTTGCCTTGGCCCTCAGCTCAACCATTGCAAGACAGAACAGATACTTCAGAAATGACATAAAGACAAGTGATGTAAGAAAGCCATGTTATTTTATACATAGGGAAACTGGACAGAACTTTTTGTGAATTAAAGAACTTAATTTATGGGAGAGAGTGGTTTTATGGCCAATGTACAGTGAGATAATGAACATATTAATCAGTTATAGTAACAACAAAAGAATATTCAGGTCTGACAGATGGCATAAGCTTTTATGAGCAACTGCTTGATCAATGAGGTAAAATACAGATATTTTGTTTATCAAGGAAAATCAGAATAATTATTAAAAGGCAATGGCTTTGATCCAGAACATTTTTAATTCAAAATAAATAATTAATAAATAAATAATTGTGTTTCTATTAAGTAGCATTCTTGGACATATATACAGTATTCAAGTCTCACCTATCTGTTCAAGAATACTAAAAGCACAAATGGCTAAAACCAGGTTGGATTTGATTCAAATCAAGTTGATTTAAATCATGATTTATATCACTAGTAAAAAGGCTTGATTTAAATCAACTCTGTTTAAATCATAATTTTTAAAAGAGCAACTGTCATCTTTGTCCTGCAGCGGTTCCTCCTCTGACCTGCTGTTGACTCACTGGCAGTCTCATTCACTTTAATGGGAAGGCTGGTGATGTGGCAGTGACACAAGGTGAGGGATGTAGCAGGTAGCACGGGAGTGGATGCCCGCTAACAGGCGCTGCCATGATGGATCTGAAATGACAGGTGCTCTTTAAATGTAAGGCCTCATTCTGGCTAGTGATTAAAATCTTTAATATTATTTGCAAACAAAGTGAAGGTTTCCTATTTAGCTTGCAGAGCTTGCATTCATTGAATGAGTTTACAAAAAATGTAAATATTGCAGAATATACAGCCTCATGCTGCATAACTAAGTTCCATTTCATGCTGAATAAACTAAAATATTAGTGTATCTTAAATAGAAAACTATTTTAGATAGATTTTTACTCCAAAAGCAGTTTATTAAAACAAATACGATAAAAATAAAAAAAATTCAATTTAAATTTTAAGACATCCGTTTTTTTTAAAAAATCATTCATTTTTAATCCACTCTGGCTAAAACTAAGACTAATGTGATATTAGAGGTATTGTTTATATTTATTCTTTGAGAAAATTCTTTTTCAGAGATTCAAATGGAGCAACAAAATTAAAATATAAAGATATAAGTTTGTATAGTTAGCGCTTTAAACCAATCAGTATACATAGCTTGAGGAAATCTTTCTAATTAATGTTTAATGTTTACAATCATCCCATTTGGGTGTTTTGCCCCATGTGGTCATCAAAATAATTGACTCCCATCTATCAACCAAACTTTACAGACTTTTAATGAAGTAGAATAATGGTGCAGATGTTAACCAGTATAAGAGGAAAACTATGTATATGGTCTCTTATTATAGTGCATTTGATGAAATGAGCTGCAGCTCACAAATAACATTTTAATAAAATTTGCTAGGTGGAAAAAATGTTACCAAGCTCAGATGTTAACCAAAATCTTACATTTCTAAACATGAGATGTCCTAGTGTAAAACAGGCTACTTTTTCAAAGAAAAGAATTAACATTGTATATTGTCTCTTTTCCAAAGATTATTGGTGAAATTTCTAAGAAAGTGGCCCAAATTCAAAATGGTAAGTTCCTAATCATGGGAGTAATCTTAATATCCTTCTGCAACTGCAAAAACTAGTTTTCAATAATATTTAAATTTGCACTTTTTCCTAGTTGATAATTAAGGAGTATTTATGAGGGAAATTGATGCCAGTATTCAAAAACATTTATAAAATGTGTTATTTTGACCTTTTCTCCCTCTACCCACTTTGGCCTGATACAGTTCTTGTGTTCAGCAAACTATATAAATATTTAAGTTTTAATTCACATGAGAGGATTTGCCTTTTTATTGAAAACATACTATTTAAAAAAGATAATTTGAAGACCATTAAAGTTATCACAAAGCAAAGAGAAGTTATTGAAAGGAATAAAGCAAAATGAGAGATCTTTTATAATTCCCACAGATTTCAGGATAGAAAAGGTATTGTTTCTATTTAAAAAGACTACATGATAAACTGTATTTTCTTCTTTTAAAATAGCTGGTTTAGGTGAATTCAGAATTCGTGATTTGAATGATGAAATTAACAAACTCCTAAGAGAGAAGGGGCATTGGGAGGTCCGAATAAAGGAGCTGGGAGGACCTGATTATGCAGTGAGTATAAATTAATATGTAAGAAAATGCAAAAGTATAGATGTATTATTCCTAAGTTGTTAGTAAAATATTTGATAAAGAAAACCATATAGTTGCATAATTGCTAGTTCAAATATTTTAGTCTCGCTATTGAAATAATTTCTTTGAATACTTCCTGCCCAATTTGGGCAGGTCCCGGTCACACCAGTTGGTTGAAAATATCTGAAGTCATGTGAACTCTTGTCTACAGAGATAAAAAGAAAAGAAAAACTTTTAAACTTACGGCTCATGTTCCATTAAAAAAAAAACTATTTTATAGAGAATTGGCCCTAAAATGCTTGACCATGAAGGAAAAGAGGTTCCAGGAAACAGAGGTTATAAATACTTTGGAGCAGCTAAAGACCTACCCGGTGTTCGAGAGCTTTTTGAAAAAGAACGTAAGTATTTGCACATTGATTGGACTATTACTGTAATGCCAATCAATTGCATGTAAAATGTTTGTGTGTGTTTAAAGTTCTTTTAAGATAAAATGGTTTTGTTTCTGTTTTTTGATCTTGTGAAACCAGAGTAGTTTTGGAGTTGGGTGACCTAGAAAACAAACAAACAAACAAACAAATAAATAAAGTCTTTGCATTCCTTGGCCCACCATAAGTGTGATTAAATTTACCTGCTCCAATACAGTCCCTGCGTTAATCCATGATAACCCATGCTTATGAACAGGCTGCCTGTTGCTAAAAATGGCAGGCAGTGTGTTTACTTGAGCTGATGAACCATTGAAGCTGCACAATTTTTTTGCTTGCTTGTTTGTTTTTGCATTTCTGAACCGCCCATTTTCCTGAAAGAGAAACTATGCAATAAAATGTCAAAATATAAAAATATTAAGCTAGATTTAAAATTTCAAAATTAAATTTTTTAGGAAGCGGCAAGAATAATTAAGTCCTGTTAAAAGTTAATTTAAAAGGTGAAGGGAGGATTCTCAGGGCACCAAAGAGCCCTGAGGCTATGTATTCCTTTGGGATTCCCATATTAGGGCTTCCCACCGAGGCATGTTTTAACTCTTTTTCGAAAATCCAGGAGATGGAGGCCTGTCTCACCTCCAGGGGGAGAGAATATTCCACAGGGCAGGAGCAATGGCAGAGAAGGTTCTTTTCCTAGACCCCGCCAGTTGGAGTTTGTTAATGGGATCTACAATATACCTTCCCTGCCTTACTGGTGGTGTGTGTGGGATGACATGGTGAGATGAAGCCAGTTCCACAGATAGCCTGGCTGTGAGCCATGTAGGGCTTTATAGGTTAAAACCAACATGTTAAATTGGACCCAGAAGCAAAATGACACCCAATGCAGTTTGTGGAACAGAAGTATGACATGTGCCCTTCTCTGAGCATCCAATATAGCTTGTGCATCTGCATTCTGCACCAGCTGAAGATTCTGGATACTTTTCAAAAGTAGCCCCATGAGTGAGTGAGCGGAGGGCCTCCCTATCCTGGAAAGGATGTAACTGGCACATATCACAGAGTTTGTGGGTATAGCAGTAGCATTTAGACTTATATACCACTTCATAGTGCTTTTACAGCCCTCTCTAAGCAGTTTACAGAGTCAGCATACTTCCCCCAACAATCTGAGTCCTCATTTTATCCACCTTGGAAGGATGGAAGGCTGAGTCAACCTTGAGCCGGTTTGAACTGCTGAACTGCAGCTAGCAGTCAGCTGAAGTAGCCTGCAGTACTGCACGCGTAACCACTGCGCCACCGTGGCGCATTAGAAATGCACAGTTTCAATGGTTCATTAAAATGTTGCACAACTTCAGCAGTTCATCAGCTCAAAAAATGAGAATGCTGTCCACCATTTTTAGTAATATATTGCCTGTTCATAGGTATAAATTCCAACTTATTTACAAAGTTGAGTTAAAACAGAGCTAGGAATGGAATATATTCTTAACCCAAGAAATGCCTGTAATATTATCTTTTATTCTTATCTCTTCCACAATATAAATATATATATAATCCATAATAAATCATTAATTGGTACATTTCTGGACTATTTCAAAGTGAACATAACCATATTTGTCAGATGTGTATGGAGATTCTTTATCTCCATATAGAATCTCCATATGGGACAATTGAATATTAACCTCACTGTGCATTTAAAAATTGGAATGTTTCTATTAAGTAGCATGGGTGGTGCAACATGTTAATTTTTTTTAAGATAAGGTTCAGGTTACAATAAAACGGTAGAACATTTGGAATCTATATAACAGTAGCAAACAAAACAACTGCAGTTTTCAAATCATCCAAAAAGAAGAGAGTTTAATTATATCTTGAGAAGAGACTGAAGTTAAAATAAGTACTTATAGGAAGTGATCTGTCCAAGAAGTCCTTTAGCTTGATTAGATTGATTACAAGCACTAGTAAACTTTTAATTGAATCTCTGACCTAAAATCTGTTCCTTTATGCTTCTATTTTATTTTTTGAAAATGATTTAATTTATTCCATTAGCCCTTCCTCCACCACGGAAAACTCGAGCTGAACTCATGAAAGCTATTGATGCAGAATACTACGGCTACAGAGATGAGGATGATGGTGTCCTGGAACCGCTGGAACAGGAACATGAAAAAAAAGGTATAGGAAATAACTGTTGGCTTTTTGAAGTGCCATTTACACAATATTATTTTTTAATTCAAATCAATATTATTTACTTTAACAGTAGCCAGAAGTGGATTTTAGTAGCCCAAAATGGCTTGTATTAAATATTCCAATTCTTGAATATGAACTTGCAGCTCTATTCTTTGAAATTCACTCTTCATCTTACTCCAGGGATCTCTTCTGTTACTTAACTACCTGGAGGCCCCTAGTATCAACTAAATGCAAGGTCAGTTGGGAGTAATCATATCAAGAGCTTTGCCTGCTTTCCTGTTACAGACATTGATCAGATTCATAACAAAGTTGCCTACCAGATTGTTGTATTTTCTATTTCAGATTGCCAAATAATTTTCTTAAAAAATTATAATTGCTTGAATTTAACCTCAAAACTTTTGCATTTAAAGTACGCACAACCACCATGTCCCATTCCAAAAAGTAAAGCACTATTGGAATCTGTTGAAGCTCTTTTCATAATTTAGAAATCAAACTATTCATCTATTTTGTATAATCATGTTACCCACTGTCATTAGTTTGGACTGGCATCTTGAAGTATGACTTGCATTAGCCTGTAGCCAGTGTGGTAGCATTAATCTGCAGCTTCTGTGTAACTTTAGTGAGATGTCAAAGCACAGATAGTTCCTAACTCTCATGTCTGAGCATTCCAATGGAATATTCCATTCCACAAGTATATGGGGCTCCCAGCTGCAGTAGCAAAAAAATCATCAGTGAGTTGAAGTTCTTAATGAAGCCTTCGATTTTCAGTTTGTCATGGGAATGATTTATCTGTGAGAGCATTCTGTCAACTCCTAAATATCTTGATCATCAAAAATTAGATTGAGAGTACACTTCCAAAATATTCTGGAAATGGTTAAATTCCCAACTATGATAAGACACCAAAATTAGATGCCCCCCTAATACACTAAATTTAGAATTAGACACTGTAAGTTCAATCAGCTTAAAGCTCACTTCAGAAATACATGGAAGTGTTGGGTAGTAGATAGTGGTACATCAGCAGAAGCTCAATGTCTTGATGGTTTATTACAAATGTGTATATCCAGATTTTCAAATACAATTTTTCAGTAGAGATATTCATTGGATCATGCACACTCCTACATTTTTGAAAATAATTCTTTTAAGTAGACTGAAAATGTTCTCACTCAGCAGAGAGTGAGCAGTCCCACTTATTAATTCATGATTAAATTATGAGTTAAGGCATTCTTACTAATTATTGTATTGGATTGAGAAGTAGCATTTTATGACCAAACAGACTTATCTTAAGTAAGTAGAAAGCTCTTGGTCTTCCTGAAGCACTAGCATGCAGTAGAAAACCGATTAAAAGTCCTGGCCCAAAATTGCTGATATCTCCCTGCAAGTATATCTCTGTATTCACTGTTCTTTTCTTTGTTATTGGGATACCAAGGAAACAAATTGTTTCTTCATTTCATAAATATTGTTCCAAAGATCTAACATGAAGTCGACATCCTATCTGAAGGTGCAGCTTCCCCACTAATACAACCCACAGTGTAGTCTAGGTTAAGGTGTCACATTAGAAGTGGGGAAACTCAGCTTGTGGCCTTCCTTCAGCCATAGAATTCATTGAGTGGCTTTGGGTCTGTCACTTTACTGTTGGGTCGAACCTATTTCACAGAATTTTGGTTTTGGGGGAAAACAATTTATGTATGTTTGTATGTATTTATTTCCTGCCTTTATTATTTTTACAAAAAACTCAAGGTGGTGAACATATCCATCACACCTTTCTGCTCCTATTTTCCCCATAACAACAACTGGTCAAATGGGTTAAACCGAGAGTGACTGGCTCAAGTCACCCAACTGGCTTTCATAGTTAAATCAGAACTTGAGCTCATGGTCTCCCACTTTCTAGACTGGTGCCTTAACCCAGGAGGCCAAACGGGTTCTCTGCATTTGCTTCTAGTTTTAAAATATAACCTCTTGTACCAAACAATTTCAATACCATGGCTGATAAGTGAAATTGGAAGCTTAATGACTTTTATTTTCCAGCCTAACACCTTTATTGTATAGTCTTTTTCTGGCAAGAAATTGGAAGTTTTTGTTCCTGCTATTTAAGGCAGTTCAGTAAATGCTGTGGCCGTTTATTGGTAAGCCTGGCTGAATCTGTTTTCATGATAATTAACTCCAGATCGTGGATCCTCATTTATCACATGGATACAGAGGAAATTAATACATGTGTTTTAGAAATGAATGGGACTAAATAAAACTAGATGAACCAAAATAAGGAAATAACTAAATTGCCCCTTTTAATTTTGTTAAATTTCTGTAAGTGAATGTGAGTGATCTCTCAGTAGTACTTCTTGTCAACAGAGTGCTTTGCTTTGTTGCTTTTGAATTCAGAATACTGTTGTGTTTTATAGATGGACACAAATAATTAAATGAGATAGATTTAAAGAATTGTGGAATTGGAAAGGCCCCTAGATAGTCCTTGAGTTATGACCAATCACCAGTAACAGCCATTTAAAGTTATGGTGGACTTTTACACATGAACCATCCTCAAGGTATGACTGCTGCACCTGCCCTGCCATCATATGATTTCAGGGATGAAAGTCACATGATCACATTTGGCAAAATAACCCCACCCTTTGAATAAGTTAGATTCAGATTTACAACCATATGATTCACTTAACAACTGTGGTGGCAGGTTTAACAACAATTGTAAAAACAATGTTAAATTAGAGTCCAATCAATTTCGCCTGCAATAACCTACCACCAAAATTCGAGTTTCAATTTTGGTTTTACAGTAAGTTGAAGGCTAGCTGCATTTAATCCAGTCCCCTGCTCAGTGTAAAAATCCAGGTTAAAGGACCTCCAACAGATGCAGTAAATGTAATGTCTACATAAACCGCTTGAACACAACAAGTGAAAGGGAGCTTACTTCTCTTTTGATACCAATTCAAATTTCAATCTACATTTAGTCTTGGGATTTTTCTGCCAAAAACTATGTTTCTATATCTTATACATCCATAATTCTATATTCTGACCTTTGGACTGATGGAAAACAGATTTTGCTTATACCCAGCCTTCTCGTGTCAAGACTATACATTATCATTTCCTTTCAAAAGATATAGTTTCTGGTTTCTGGATCACGCTTGTTGGCTTTCACTCTAATCCTTCATAATGCGGAGCATTGAACTAGATCTAAAAATTCATTTTGCAATTGACTATTATTCTAAGGTTCTTTTCACACCTACGCCAATACCTCTGTATGTATATGTATTCTTCAGCAAAGAAATTGGCATTTGTTTTTGTTAAATTTCATTTAATTTTCTACAGTCCACTTCTTTAAACTTATCAGTACTGCTTGAGGCAGAAGACCAAGGACTGAACTCTAAATACCTCACTACAGTATGATGAAGAAACATCGGAAAGCACTGCGTACAGCTTTCACTTCAGCTATTGCATGCCATCCAGCCCAGTATAGCTACCGTAATTTTTGGAGTATAAGACACACTCTCCCCCTCCTCCAAAAGAGGGTGGGAATCTCGGTGCGACTTATAGACTGAATACAGCCATTTTTGGCCTCCCGCACCCAGCGTGTCCCGTTTTTTCCAAAAACGGACCCATTTTTTTTTTCCAAAAATGAGGCTCACAGAGGGTTTGGGAAGTCTGCAGATTGCTCCTGGAGCCTGGGGATGGCAAAACTGGGATGTATGGGGGTTTTGGGAGCCAAAAACGAGCCCATTTTAGCAAAAATGGGATGCACAAAAGGTTTGGGAGGCCTGCAGAGTGCTCCTGGGGGCCGGAGAGGGCAAAAACCATTTTTTTCTTGTTTTCCTCTTCAAAATCTTAGTGCATCTTATACTCTGCTGAGTCTTATAGTCTGAAAAATATGGTAGTTTGTTAATTTGGTGTCACAGGATACTTTGTTAAATGTTTTACTGAAATCAAGAAACTATATGGCATTTACACAGTTTATTCAGGAAGTTACCTGATCAGAACATGAGATAAGACTAATCTGGTAAGACTTGTTTAAGACAAATCCACAATTGCTTCTTTTCAAGATGCATACGGGTCAGTCTCTTTATGATTCACACAAGAATTTTCCTCTTCTCAGACTGACTGATTTATAATTCCATGGATCTCCCTCACCCATGTCTTTTTCTTTCTTAAAAATGGGAATGTGTTCTAAACCAGGCAATAGCAACCAGAAGTATAGGCCGCCCAATCCCGAAGGGATTTAAAAAAATAAAGAATTAAAAAGACAGAGAAAAACAGATTAAAAACATAACTTGCTGTTATGTTTCAATATTGCTGAATCGAGCACCTTTTGCCTAGAAGAAAGAGCTATATACTTACAGAGGTATTTGTTTAGGTGTGAAAAGAACCTTAAAATAATAGTTAATTGCACAATGAATTTTACGATCTAGTACTATGCTCCATGCTATGAAGACAGCTAGAGGCTGTCTGCAATTCCTTAAAGCAGCAGCAGCACCTTTTCCTGGGACCATGTGGCTGCCCTCTTTATCTGCTATGTGATCATAAGCAATGACACATTTGACCTAAGGAATTGAAAAATGGTGCTACATTCATGTTCCCACATCTTCCAAATAATCTTTTGACTTCAAATCTAAAATGCTTTACGCCTATATAGACATTCCTTCATTAATTTTAACCAAATGCATTGTATTGCATCATCAGGTTAATTAATTTGGATTTTCAAGCAGAATGGGTATTTTTAATATTCTGTGCAACTCCTCCTTTTCTGCTGTTTCTCTTTTGAAGAAAAAAAACCTGGCTCCTTTAACTGTTACTTTATTGGGTCTTGATTATAACTAATAAATAATATTTGCCTTCTTTTACTAAAAGTTGTTGCTTATTTGATATATTATTCTCTTTCAGATTTTCACTGTTTAATAGATCCCTTTAGAGAAACTGTCCAAGATGTGAAAACTTACATTTTTTTTCTTCAAATTCTGGGATTGGTGTGCCCACCTGGCTGATGTATGTTAGAGTTAGATTTACTATCACATTTACTTTTTGTTCAGAATAGGCTTTTAATGTATATGCCACTCAGAGTCTATGTTGAATTGAGCAGCCATATTAACTCTTAATCACAGATAAAATTAGAAACATCTCCGCCTCTTTTTTACAGCTTACAAATGTTTTTTTCTCCAGTCACCACAGTATTGATCTTTTCCCTTTTATAAGTTTTGAGTTGCACAGCTAAGTTGCTTATACTTTAGTGATAATATATAAAACTAAACAACACTGTGATCCACTGGGTCATCTTTTAAGGGAAAGATGGTACAATGTGGTATGACCAGAGTGAATATTAAATGTTCACGTAATCATCTACAAATATATATCATAAATAGAAAAATAATTATAGTGTCAAACAAACTTCAATAATTAGTAAACATTTACTTATCCTAAAGAGAATGTCCACTATAACGATGAGTAGTTGCTGTATTTTTGTAATTTGCGGTTTTCGATACAACTTTCAAATGTGGCTATTTTGCTTTTCCAGTTATTGCAGAAGCAGTGGAAAGGTGGAAGGTAGAGAGAGAAGCGCATCTTGCAAGAGGTGACAAGGAAGAGGAGGAGGAGGAGGAAAACATCTATGCAGTAAATGACAATGAGGTAGTGTATCTGCTTCCAGCCTTATGCTATATATTATATAGTCTATATAGTAAACTAGTGTACTCCATCATGACTGATAAAAAGATTAATAATAAATGTGCAGCTATATACTCACAAGTTGATAGACCTGCATTATTTAATGTTGTCTTATATAAAATAAATGTAATTAACTCTGATTTCTAGCCGGACTCTGGCTGAAGTGCAATCAGGAGAGCAAGGATTTATTTTGTTTATTTTGAGGTGAAGTTCTAATGATGTGCTAAGAAAACTTAGAATTCAACATTTTCTCAATGCTTTCCAGTCTGATGAAGAAAATGGAATGAAAACAGACAGTGAGGATAGTCAGCAGAAGTTTATTGCTCATGTCCCAGTACCATCACAACAGGAGGTAAGGACTCGCACATGCAGGAAATACAGGAAGCATAACTTTGAAAGATGAGGGAGGAGGGAGGGAGAAAAAGAAAAAGTGAAAGGGAAGTATAAAGAAAGAAAGAAAGAAAGAAAGAGGGAGGATTTAAGGAGGGAAGGAAGCATATACAAGAAGCTTAACTTTGAAAGAAGTAGACTTGTGCACTAGTTGCAGCAAACAATTAGTGTATTTCATAGTAAGCAGATTTCCTCAGAATATAATGTAATAGGCCATTACTATTGATAGTTGGGTATTCACATACACTCAGAAATGAAGGGATGGTAACAGTGCCACTGAAATAATTTCTATGGAGATTCTCAGTCATCCAGGTCATGGTTGTCCCAATGGTGCTTTTTTCAAGAGGTAACTGGCCTTTCTGATTTTTCTTTGAAGACGTTTTGCTTCTCATCTAAGAAGCTTCTAGAGCTCTAACTGGATGGTGGGAAATGGAAGGATTTATACCTCCTTTCAGATAGCTGGTCATTTGCATTCTTTTTAGCATGTCATTAAAGTCACCTGGAGATTTATCTGTGTCATCAGAGTCACCTGAGTGGGGTATATTGGTGTGCAGCCTTCTTGGAACTGTTGAAAGGACTGTGTTGTAGATTGGGGATAGATAATGTCATATCCCTCCCCTTCTGTTGAGAGAGGGCTGTTGATAAAGATGGCCTCTTGAAAAAAGCACCTTTAGGACACTGAAATTCATGTTAGGAATTTAATTCATTATTAGACAATCTCTGCCCTGTTGTGTCATTGTTTTAAATATGTTTTTAAAACATAGAAAACAGAATGACAACGGGAGCAGAATCAACTTCTGACTTCCTGTTAGCTTCCTTATTAAATTTCCTTTCCCTTCCTCCCTGTCATTCTGTCATTATGTTCTTTCATTCCCTCCCTCCCTTTCATTCCCTTCCAACTTTCCTTTGATATGAAAAGCTGTTTTTCCATTATAAGGATAGGTATGTTTAATTTTTAGGCTCACTACTGTATTACTGAGGAGGAAATTAGGACCTTTAAAATGTATTCATACAATGCAAATCATTTAAATGTTATCTAATTGGCAAGTTATTTTTTGAATGGTTGCATTGTATGAGTGATTTTAGTAAGTGCATTTGCAAGATGCTGCAGTTGAACAATTTATCAATTTTCATACTCATTTCTGAAAAATAGTGTTGTAACTTGCATTGTTTTTATTAAGTGAGGTATCAAATTCTGTGGCCAAAGTAATTTTTGATCTAATCAATTCTGTTATGGTCAGTTTCTTAAGTAACTTTTACTAAAGAATTTTCCATTTGCAAGTTTTCAAATTGAATGTTGCTCATTTAACAGATTGAAGAAGCTCTTGTCCGAAGAAAGAAGATGGAACTTCTTCAGAAATATGCCAGTGAAGCTCTTCTGGCTCAAAGTGAAGAGGCTAAAAAACTTCTAGGATTATAGTAATTGCCCCTTCTACTTTTTATAATCTAATTTGATTCTATAGAATCAGTATCTTCTTGATTCTATAGAAGTAAGACTTTGCGAGTTCTAGAATGAAGATGGTCATTTTTTCCAAAATACATTTTATTACACATTTTTCACTCTATCCTAATTTATGAGAGAGTATTCATTTTCAGTTTCCACCTTCAATCACTAAATAGCTAGCTTGTTTTGAATTTATCTTTGTCCACTTATTTTCCTTTTTTTATTTTACCTTAGTAATAACTGTTAAATTAGAAAGTAACATTTTGTATATTTTTGTACTTTTGTATGTTTTGTATATTTTTGTACTTTTGTACAAAAGTGTACAAAAGTGATTTTGTATCACTTCAGTAGAATGTTGAGTAGGTTTTAGAAGATTTATTATATTTAATTTTGTTTATCATGTGTGAATTTGTAATTGTCAAACATTTCTACATCTGTGGAACAGTATTTAATTTAGAGTTTTCAAGAACTGAAATGTTCAATATTGTTAATATGGAACTACGTATTATGCTACTGGAAAAAACACTCACTTGGCTGGGTTTTTGAAATGCTGAATATTTCAGCAAATAAAATTGTAAATACTTTTTATAAAAATCTCTCCTTTTTTAGTAAAATTTATGTAGATTTGTTTATTGCTTTTGTTAAAAACACAAAAATTCCTCAGCTATGAATATAATAATTTATAAATATTATGAATTCTAGAAACATGAGTATCAACAAGATGATTAACAAAAAAAAACCTCAAACACTATGTAAAATTTTGTGTGTGTGTGTGTGTGTGTGTGTGTGTGTGTAAAAAAAATTTTTTCCCAGGAACATTTTGGAGGTTTATGAATGTTTTTATCATAGGCTTTTTACAATTATACTTAAATACATTATATTATTATATAATTAGTCCAAGTTATACAGCAACATGGACTTTCTATAATGTAACCCATTTTTCTACTACCAAATTAACAAGTGTGGATGCTAATATTTAGCAATTGTAAGA